AAAGCATACATTAAATAAGTCCTATTTTTTTATGTTTTTTATTATTGTTAAAGTATAGTTGTCTCCCTTTTCCCCACCCCCATGATGTCCCCTTGCCTCACCCATACCTGCCTCCCACCCTCAAACCTACTCCCTTTGGATTTGTCCATGTGTCCTTTATACATGTTCCTTGATGGCCCTTCTCCTATTTTCCCCCATTATCCCTCTCCTCCCTCCCCTCTGGTTATTATCAGTTTGTTCTCTATTTCAATGTCTCTGATTATATTTTGCTTGCTGATTAGTTTCCACTAATATGTGAGATCCTACCATATTTGTCATTCGCCCCCTGGCTCATTTTACTTATCATATAAGGAATCATAAACAACCCTGAATAGCCACAGCAATTTTGAGAAAGAGGAATCATGATTCCTGATACCAAACTATATTACAAGGTCACAATAATCAAAACAGTCTGGTACTGGCATAAGAACAGACCCATAGATCAATGGAAGAGAATAGAGAGCCCAGAAATAAACCCATGCCTCTATGGTCAATTCATACTCTACAAAGGGGGCAGAAGCATAAAATGGAGTAAAAATAGCCTCTTCAGCAAATGATAGTGGAAGAGCTGGACAGCTACATGCAAAAAAATGAAACTCAATCACCAACCTACACCATACACAAAAATAAACTCAAGGTGGATAATAGACTTAAAACAAGTCACAATACCATAAAAAGTCCTAAATGAGAACATAAGCAGGAAAATCTCAGATATTCCATGCAGCAATATTTTCACTGAAAATGTCCCCTAAAGCAAGAGATAAAAAGAAAAAATAAACAAATGGGGATTCATCAAAATAAAAAGCTTCTGCATGGGTAAAAGAAACATCAGTAAAATGAAAAGAAAACCAAAGATGTGGGAAACTATATTTACCAATGATAACTCAGACAAGGGTTTGGTCTCCAAAATATTTAAAGAACTTACATGCCTCAACTCCAGGAAGACAAAAAACCCAATTAAAAAATGAGCAAAGGACCTGAACAGACACTTCTCTAAGGACACACAGAAGTCCCAGATATATATGAAAGGATGCTAAGCATCACTAGCCATCAGAGAGATGCAAACTAAAACCACAATGATATACCACTTTACACCGGTCAGAATGGTCATCATAAACAAAGCAACAAACAACAAGTGTTGGAGAGGTTGTGGAGAAAAGGGAACCCTAGTGCACTGCTGGTGGGAATGCAGACTGGTGCAGCCACTGTGGAAAACAATATGGAATTTCCTCAGAAAACTAAAAATGGAACTGCCTTTTGACTCAGCAATTCCACTGCTGGAATTATACCCTAAAGTGATCAGTGTCGTTTAAGAGTCAGAACTTTAAACTGTCTCCCACTTTTTGATTCTCTCTAGATTGGGAACCTTGGAGTCAAATACAGAAAAAGAATCAGTTTTTATTTGCTTTCTGTTTTTACAATTCCTCAGAGCTCCTGACACTGCCAAGATTGAAACAGAGACTTGAAAAAATACAAAATGGAAGCACAGTGTTTTGACTTGATACTCTCACAAACTAGGATGGTATACTCTGAATCTGGCAGGAGTTGTTAGCTGAATTTTCATCAGCAACTAGCCAGTTCAAGTCTTACCACTTAGATTTCTCATTTGGGAGTCAAACACTCTGTGTGAAGTACTATCAGATTTTTCCAAGTAGTTCTACTAAACCTTCTTTCTGTAGGACTTTAGGCTTCCTCCTTGAGAAAAGATTGAGACTTACAACACCACTAGTACATCTCTCCCCAAATCCTCTTTTTTCACTCTGTTGTTTTAGTCTCTCCTAGGCTATAACTGGGTGATCATCTTAGGGTTTTATCCTTTTTTAAAAATTCAAGTTCTGCATGCTGAGCCTAATTCGAAATTATTATCCATTGTCTTCAACTGAGACATTGACTTTCACATTTTTTATAGTAGCTGGTTATACATGAGTTTTCATTTATTTAAAAACAGGATATTGCATATCCCCTTGCTATCACATAATTATATAATAGAAAATAGTATTTCATAATTGTATTACAAATAAGAATATTCATAACTTTTAAATATAATTATATGAAAAATCAAAATAGTAAGCAATGTAATTTTCAAATGTATAAGTGAGCAATTAAACACAGGTCTGGTTCTCACTTATCTATGCATTTTTCCTCACTTAGAAAAATACTCATTCCATGCTTACTAGACAATAGAAGTCTAACGGTGGGTAAAGCAGATTTGATCCAGTCCTTCATGAAATCTGTAGCCTAATCTATTAAAAATGTATTTTATATTTCACAACCTTTAGGAGGTTTTTGCAAGAACTAACATAGCTTTAGAGCATGGGCAAAATGGAGATCCAATAAAAAAAGTGGGACAGCAATTGATGAACAAAACAGTTGGCCATGGAGAGCCAAAACTGATCATAAATTGATGGAAAATAACAGTAGAAACTTGTGATGTACAGTTAGTGTTCTGATGACTTAGTAAACGCAGGAAGTCATAGTTTGGCATGTGGTTATCACGACAATTTGAGAGTAATTGCTTTTGGGTGAGGAAATGTTTTTTGGAGAAACTTACTGTAAACGTATTTGTACCAAAGAGATTTTTTAAGGAAAAATCTATTATTGCAATAGGAAAAAAACTGGCTATTTGACAGAGCATAATTTTGAATCTGTGTCCAACCACTAAATACTGCCTGGAAGGATCACAGTCAGTGATTAGGTTTTTGTAGCTAGATTTGAAATATATATGTTGTTGATGTTTGAGTTTAAGAAGAGCATAAAAGCCTTATTGTCCTGCAACTCTTATTCTAAGGACAATAATATTTTTTAAACTTAATTATCCATTTTAAACTTAAAACCAACATCCAATGTAAAAACAGGACCTGAGTCACCTTTTAAAGATAATTATAATGGTGAAGAAAATAAGTAAAACAAAAAAGCCAAGAAATATAAGGAGAGAAAATGAAGTTGTCAGCTAGTTGGTATACAGAAAACATGCTATTAAGTTCCTTATTATTTCAATACAAATTTGATTCTGAACTTGCTAAAAACCAAAGTAAAAGGGAAGCAGGTTAGGTTATGAGAATCACTGTGTCCATAAATTAAAAACTAAGAAGTTTCTCAGTAAAAACATAGTTATTCTTAAAATTAAGAAGACACTGATCCTTTTGTAGAAGATGCTTTTGTAGTATAATGAATGTCCACAGTGCAGTTATACAGTGCCATAGAGTTCTGTTCTCTCTCTCTCTGTCTCCCTCCCTTCTTCCCTCCCTCTATCTTTTAGTATCATCCTTGCATCCTATTTTATACAGACTCCTTGGCCAGCTGTGCTGAGCCCTCAAGGATGAGTTTCACAGTCTCTGAGTCAGCAGGGCTTCCTGCAGGGTTCAGCCAACAGGACAACTGGTGGGACACTGAAGGGCAGGAGGATGGGAAAACCTGTGGTTTTTCTTATTCTCTATCTGCAGCGGTGTCTCTGGCTAAGGCTGCACAGTACTCTCTCCACACTGCCCCCCACACACATGCTTATACTTGTGTATGCAGAATGCTATAATTTCCACCAAGTTACTCTGAATCTTTGTCCCACCAGCCTAGGTTTAGTAATGACTTCATTTTGTTGTTAATCTCTGGGCTACCTCAGTGTCCCAGATGAGCTTCTCGGGTTTTTTGTCACTGATAGAATAATTGTCTTACTTAAATTCCCTCTGCTTTACATATTCAGTGAGCTTTCTCTTGTCCTGGTTGGATCCCGATTTACAGAATCACTTGTTATAATACAATGGCTATCTTTCAGCTCAATTAAATATAAACAATTTTACATCAGGAAACACCATGGAAAGTGTTATTATTTGCATATTATGTGGTAAAAATTACTTATACAACAGTGGATATCAGACACAGAAGAGTTTAGGAAACAAATTCCCACTACTAACTCAAGTGTGATCTTCTGGAATAGAATTATAATTCACCAATATCAATACAAGTGATATTTCAGCACATAGATTAAACAATTCATTTTCAGTGGACATGCTCCCTAGACAATCTCTAGAAATGAATACATGCCAATATCTTGGCTGTAATAAATCAGTGTAATCCAGAAAGAATATCCTTGGAAAGTAATCTTCTTCTTCATCCACTTAAAAATAACATCTGTATGATTCTCCTAGAACTTTCTCTTCTTGGCAAATACAGAAAATATGTATGGAAAGTAACATGTAATCATCCCCTTCCAGTTCCTTACTTCACTGAATAGGTAAACTAAGGAACATTTTACCCCAACATATATGTCAGTAACATATCAAACAATAAAATGTTCAAGTTATCACTGATTATGTGACATCAATGAAGATTTTCCAAAGAGGTCAGATTAAAGCCTGATAAATAATATTTTGTTATCATTAACTTCAAAAACAACACATCGTGGTGCAGCAAATCATATGCAAACAACTTCGAGAGAGATGAGTTTTTAGAATTGTTTGATATCTAGAAACCAATGTTCCAATACAAATATGCTCATTGGGAAGCTCAGGGATGCGGGAGAACAAAGACTACCAGTGCTTATCTTAGCTCCTGACCACAGAGGCAGTCACTTCTGCACATAAATCAGGTTTGTTTTATTCTGAGGTCATTAAAAATTCAATCATATGGCTAATACCTTAGTTTTTATTACATGAATATCCAACAGTCTTTGCATCTCAATTTGGCTGACTTGGGCTTCCCAAGATGGAAAAAATGCACTGGCTCACGTGTTTTAGTATTCATAGTAATCATTGTTCTTATAAATTAATAAAACAGCATCACAAATTTGCATTATGACATCATAAATCTGAAAATATGAACCCCCTCTGTGAAGAATGTGCTGGTAAGTTATGTCTCTTGGTTTGCAAGATTACCCTTGAACTATGGCAAAATTACCTGCTGGATACTCACTAAAACATCTTTCCCAGGTGCAACCTCCCACCAACATCCATTTTTTCTCTACCTACCTGAAAGTTTTCTTAATATCTTCTGCTTGGATTGTCTTGAGAATCTCTTCATATAACTGATGATCAAGTGTTCCTGAAGAAGTAGCATTTGAAGGGCAATTCTCATGTGCATAATAGCCTATCAAAATGCCAAAAATAAATAAAATGATGGCTGTGCAAAGTATTTTTAATAGGCAGCAAAAGTTGCAGTGGTTGCTCTTTGGTGCAGATCTTGTGTAACGGGGAGCATAGTCAGTCTCTTCCTGAAGTCGCTGGAACCTGCCTTTGGGTGAAGTTGCTGGCTGAATGGAATCAAGACTGAGGTCTGCAGTCTCTGAATTCTCCAGGTTCTGATGCTCAGCACCATCTAGCTGGAACTGGTCAAAACCAGGCTCCTCCAGTTCCTTTTCCATGTCCCACTCTAAGTCAAGGGCAGTGGCTTGAAGGTCATCATTGTCTAAGTACTGTGAATGTCCTGGAGCTCTTTGATCTGCATTGACCTTTTGATAGGCCATCTTTTTACCTGTGAAAATGAGAGAATTAGAGTTTTTTTAATAAACAACAAAGAAAACCTCCATGGTGAAAACAAAACAATAAACCATATTATGTGTCCATAAAATTTCAGTGATTATAATCAGCAGAAATGCATTGCCCCTACAGAAAAATCACATATAAGTTAATTATGTTTTTCTACTAATGTTACTATAGGAAAAGAAGATCAAACATAAGAGAAGGTACTTGGTGGAAAAGTTTATGAGAACTCAAAATACACACACATACATGCACACACACTATTAACCTTCAAAGCTCAGAGAATAAGTCACAAATGCACAGTTGTATTGAGAATAATGCATTACAATGAAGGCAAAATTTAAGCTTATTCATGTTCACAATCACTTTTAAGGAAGAAAAAAGGAGCAGAAGCAATACAACTACTATTTGGTAGGTTAAGGGAAAAAATAAAAGACCCTGGGATAATTTACACTGCAAGAGCTAATTTTAAAATCAAATTCAGAATAAGAATAGGCAGATAAACTAAATAAAGTAGCAATGCTACAGAAATACAAGAAGCAAGATATGGTATATTACATCATTGTGAGAAATTAAAAGGACTGGAAAAATTTAAGGCTACCTCAGACAACCAAGATATTCCATGGGATTAATGACATGAATTGGCTCAACTCATTCAACTTTAAATAAAAGTCTGGGCTGGCATCCATCCAAAAAAGGAGGCCTTTTGCCAGGCTAGGAAAATTTGGTTTCATAACCTTGCTATAGCAATGGCAGATGGAGTTTTTTCTCCCCCACACAGTTTTGGATGACTGTTTGCTGTATCCTGCAGTGTGGTATTAGGATAACTAGGCTAATTAACTACAAGTGGTCTTCAGTCTGTATTCACTAACCCACTGGTTTGTTATGGTTGCAGGTTGAGTATTTATAACTAAATTTTCTGTGTATTAGATATGTCACCTAAGCTGGAATTTAAGGTCCCTTACTATGTTTTATGATTTTTCTATGTGCCCCACTGTGGGTAAAGAACAGAGCTCACCTGGCAAATGATTAGCCAATTGCCTAACAACCAGTTTTTGACAAATGAACTCTAATGAAAAAGATACAAATAGGGACTTCATAAAGGACAGTGGAATTATGCACAGCTCCAGTCCAGGCTGGCAGAAGCTCATATGAATTAAAATGTTCTGAATGTTTTAAAAAGTTCAAACATAATAAAATATTTTGTAATTCTGACTAGATTCTCATCTACTACCTACAAACTAGGATGTACATTTACCTGCTTGGCTGGAGTTGAGTCAGTAAAATAAGAATCTATGCGTGGCAGGTACTGGGATAGGCTTCTAGTCCTCAGGAAGGGATTGATCCAATCAGAGACAGATAAATAAACAACTAAGTAAAAATTTAAAAAATGTAAGGGGGATTCAGGTTTGACTGATTCTACAGAGAAAATGGGAAAGGATTTCCCAAGTGACCTCTAAGGTACTTTTGACAAAAGAGAAGGCGTTAACTAGGGCAGACCAGCGGCAGTGCGAGTGGAGGGCATCCCAGCAGCGGGAAATCTACAAGCACACAGAAGAATGAGAATGCATGATGCATGGATCATCTGAAAAACCTAGAGTAGTATGATGTAGCTAAAGATGCAGCACCTAGGCCAGAAATTTGGGGGAAATAGTAAGGAATGTGATCTTGGACAAAGGGCTTCATTCTCTGCAACTCAGAGTATTCATCTGTGAAATGGGCATGATAATAATATAAAGCTCATAGTGTTGTCATTAAGATTATCTGAGAGAGTGAACCTAACACAACCACTGAAGGCTGCATGAGTCAAAAAAAAAAACATTTTTAGTAGTGGAGGAGGGAGAACTGTCAAGGATTGTTATAAGAAGTTCAATAATGCAGAAAAATCATATAACTCTGTAAAACATTGTGGAGAAAAGAAGAAGGTTGCCTAATACTCATGTACAACACACTCACATGCACACACACACACACACACACACACATTAGCTTGTTTGATTTTTTTCACATTTAGTCTATATGTGGAGACTAAAATATGTTTTAAAAACACCACATGACATGCCAACTGTTATCATGCAGGTATTTATTTGGCACTATATATGAGAGGACAGCCTCAGAAATGATTCTGCAGACACTTTTTCATCTTTCTCCCTTTCCTGCCCCCTTTCCTGCCCTGTCCCCCTTCTACTTGGCCTAGTTTCCAAAATGATAAAAAAAATGCAGCATTTGAATTGTCTTTCATCACATCAAGACAAGTAGAGAAAGGGAATGACATATGGAGTTAGTGACACTTATTCAGATTGGTTAGGAGATCCTGGAATAACTGATGGATGAAGAATCCAAATCATACTTGGTTAAAAAGAAAAAGGAAAAGGGGGGAGAGGAAGGGGAGATAGAGGATGAAGGAAACCTGAAGGAAGTAGAACTCTCTAAGGTTAATGATTCAAACCCTGTTGTATTCTAGAAATAGAACCTGAGTTGTAAAATTAAGTGATTCTGCCCTGGCTGGTGTAGCTCGGTGGATTGAACACAGGCTGCGAACCAAAGGGTCGTGGTTTGATTCCCAGTCAGGGCATATGTCTGAGTTGCAGGCCAGATCCCCAGTAGGGGGCCAGGTGAGAGGCAACTCCACACTGATGTTTCTCTCCCTCTCTTTCTCTTCCCCTTCCCCTCCCTCTAAAAATAAAATTAAGTGATTCTTTTAAGACTGAGAAAGTGATATTTGGGTACTCATTTTTAAATGCAAAAGCACTTTTATAAAGTTATAAGACTGAAAAGTCAGTGGTAAACTTTTAAATACTTTAATACCCCACAATTCAAAATATTTTAACATTCATTATAAAATAGTGCAATTTCTTAGCACTAGTCAATTTTTTTCCTGTTTGGCTTAAACATCAATAAATTCCTGCTATCCTGACATAATATAATATTTTCTTCTTTGACTGTTCAGTTCATGCATTATTGATTAATTTACTTAAACACTGCCCCAATGTTTTTCTCTTAGATTTTTCCCTCTCATTTTAATGAATCAAGGTCTCTTTCTCAAAAGCATTTTCAAAGATTTAATTATAGAATATAGTTTATGTTGAAGGAAGATTTGACTCACAGGAGCTACTACTAAAATGTGAGATCTCTAATTCTGACCTCTAGTACATACATTCAGTCATTTCTCTGCAAAGCACTTAAAAGCCAGCTGCAGTGATGAGGCACAGTTTTCACTGCTACCCTGACAATAGGCATTCCATCACATGCACATCAGCAATTTAACGCTTTTCAAATATCAGTCAGAGCCATCAATTAAAATGTAATGAAGATACAGATATTAACTCCTCAGTATGATAGATAGCTGCCTGACATCCTTACCACCACTCCAAACTCATTACATGTTGACAAATTTTCACTAGATTCTATATTCCAGGAAAGCAGTATCTTGGTCAAAGGCAGATGGAGCCACTTAATGTAACAAAGTCCAAAGTATTTCAGGAAAATTGCCATGGAAATAAATATTGATAACATGTACACTGAAGAATTTTAAGTATATAAATATACATATATATTCTATTTATTTAAAGTATCCTGCTTTATGGACAATGGGATAGCTTTTGCAAAAATATAACAAAGATCTCTGCCCTCACATTTTGTTTCATGTAATCAATCTATCCAAAATGAAATCCTCAAAAATAACACTGATTAAGAATCTACTAAGTTAATAAAACTTTGATAACATTTACTATTGAGTCAGAACAAATTATCCTCTGGGTCCCATAAAGAACGCAGTTTTCACTAAAATGCCTATGCCCTGTGAGACTAGGAAATGACACATCACATTTCTTTTACCAGAATATTTCAATTCCCAAGTGCAATGAAAGTGTTATGTTATAAAAAGAAATCCAGCAAAATCGGCATGCCCAAGATATCATATTTTATGCCATTTGACCTTCATATATTTTCCATTACCGACACAAAAGGTTCATTTAACTTATACTCTCATATTATTTTACAGCTATTCCACAGGAGTAATATAAAAAATATTTTAGAATCCTTTACATGAATCTTTCTCTATAACATATGTACTTTTGTGTAGGCCAGGTCATAGAAACTTGTGGCATTTTTTAAAAATAGAAATATCTGAAACATCCTTATGGTCTATATTGTACCATTGGTCTTTCTTGTAAAGAGAAATTGTTAGAAAAAGTTGAATATATTATTCATGTTTTCTGCATATCTTATTTATTTAAGTTAGACCCCCCCAACCAAGCCCATGCCAAAGGCTAAACTATTTGGAAATTCATATACTAATTTATTTTTTATGTAGAGTTGTTCTCCCTTATTTGTAGGGGATAGTTCTAAGACCTCAAAGGGTTGCCTGAAACCTCATGTAGTATAATACTCTATGTATACTGTTTTTCCCTATACATATAATAAAGTTTAACTTTAAATTAGACACAGTAAAAGATTACAATAATTAATAATAAACTAGAATAATTATAACACAACCTGTAATAAAAGATATGTAATTATATTCTGTCTCTCAAAAATTTTATTTCTGAAAAATGTCCATAAACATCTCCACCCACGAATTTGGTACCTTTTCAATCTTCATGACACATTTATCATGCACTGTGGCCATAACTTTTGTAGTTCTGAGGCACAATGGAAAAACTAGCATGGGTTTTTTTTCCCTTCCTCACAATTTGATAAAAATTTCATTCTTACCAGACAGCTTAGCAACCTCAGCATTTACAATTGTTCTCCCTTTTAAGTCAAGAGCTTTCACTTTTTCACTTCAAGGAAGCAATTTACAACTTCTCTTTGGCATATCCAAATTGGCAGCATCACTGCTCTTGCACCAATCTGCACTGAGATAGCAGAATAGTAGATCTGATAAGCAAGAGGCTATTAACTGACAAATGGGCAGGGAACATCTACAGACTGGAGAAGCTGGGCAAAGGGCAGATTCACTCTTGGACAGGACAAAAGGGACAGCAGGAG